CTAACTACCAAAGTAAGTGCCTAGCTTGAGCTATGATTGGACAAGCTAGGCATCTTGGCATCTTAGTAAAAGTTGATTGGGTAGCGTACGTCTCCGTTACGGTGGAACCTCAGCCATTGGAAAAGGAATTCCATCAGCTTTCTTAGGGGCGGGCGGCGCACTCGGCTAATTATCTAGCTCTCGTCTCCCTGCGCCGCGCATCAGCCATACGAATAGGACTCCATTCCCTACTCCAGCTCGCATCTAATCCCTCCTATGGGTGTATCGTAGGTGACAAGCAAATGTGGCAACCGGAGCTTAGAACTCAAAACTATCCTAGATATCCACGGATGTTACAAAATGCTACGCTACATCTCGCGTGTCGAACACGTTGATGCTAGGGGACTCTTTCCCCGGTTCTCCCGACCTGTTATCTTAGCGGATTTATCATCATCACTTCAGCAAAAAAAGGGCCTGGCCAGCTCTCTAGAGTTTAGCGGCGCCGGGGCGGCAGTCGTTCCTATCACGAGGCAGACCAGGCTAGCGTCTCGCCAGTTCACCGCGCGCTCCCGTAGGCGTTGGACGGCCGAGTTAATTTCGAGACCGCCGTCCTTCTATTACTTTCAAAAACAGAGACCTTGTTCGAAACATATAGAACCGGCAATGTGCGCGATGAGCAAGCGGAACATCTAGTTACCTTCTAACCTTGTTTCCCTCAGGTGTGACCACAGGCGCCATCTTGGCTTCTCGAACAATGTGACGCGGGCTTTCTGTCTCCTCGCTGAGAAGACTTCTAAGAGAGCATTCATCTAGACTTCCATTTTTTCAATGTCTCCCAACTCGGCGGTACGAACCATCTTCAGTTTCAGCGCCGACAGCCCCTCTCTTGTCCTTACGTCCAACACCAATGCCGCTATCTGCGAAAAAGAGAATATCGTAGGTGACAGCGGATTTCGTATTCATTTTGAGACGTGCATCCGTAACTTTAATAGAGATGCGGACGAACAACAGTGATCTAATGAACATATGAACCTTTGTGGCTTGCTCATCGCCGCCTCTCCTAAATCCAGGCCTTTGCTTGAGAGTACATCTACCGGTCATGACTGGCGATGTGTTCCGCTGCAGCGGCACCGCCGCGACTAATTATTACCATCAGATAGGTGTGTCCAATCGCCCCTAGCGGCCCGGAAGACAATACCTAGTAGCGATCCAGTAAATGATAATGTGGAGGATCACTGGCGCTTCTGCACGCAACGTAAATACGTACTCTGTGATTATCTACAGGGGTAGTTGGGGTCACAGCGGTATTACGATCCATATCCTGGCCCCGGCGGCCACGTGGAATCTCGCTTTGATGACAAGAGATCCCCTGGGACTTGAGCGGAATGGCTTGCGTCAATGCGAAGTACCTCCAAGTACCCGACCAGGGCAAGAAGCTGGGAAATCTCCAGGCTCATTTTACTTATCCCACTATCACGGCCGTAAGCCAAGGCTCTTGCAGACGCTTCATTAGGGCCTTTCATCATCCCGAATTATCATGAAAGACTGTATGATGCGATGCGATGCGATCCAGCTGACCTGTCGTCTTCCACAGGGCCTGCAGTAGGATACAATGTTTTCCCAACTCTGTCGATACGGCAACGTGGGGGCTCTAGGCAGCATATACTTGTCTTAACAATACAGCGTCGTCCCGTTCCGAAGAATGTGATGACATTTGAGCTGAGGTTGCGCGTGTCGAGAAATTACCAAACCGCCACCACCAGTCAATATCATAGCTCAGCTCCGCTTTAGCCGCCTACATGAAAAGCGTGGGGTTTCTTACCTGACGGGTCCGAGCACGAGGCCGCAGCAACCGTAGGCTCTTGTTGTGATCAACTCCAAGCATCGTTGAATTATGGTACGCGCCGATCTCTTATTGCGACCGCATCTACATACGCAACGCAACGCAACCGTTATACTCTAGCGGTGTGCACACACATACGTAAGTAAAGCTGGAATACATATCTACGTCCTAACCTAGTAGACTCGATTTACAAGTTCTCGCTCGGAACGACGAATCGGCCATCGATCAGTCCGACAACGGGAACTAGTGAGCTGCTTTAGTTGTTTCAAGAAACGAAATGGACCAGCTTCCGGCCGTTTAACATGACAACCGATCCCCCCAAAGGCCCAAGGGGATCATTGACGATTTGCTCATCTTCCAAGAAGCGCAACGCTTACGATTTCTTAGCTGGTAGGTTCGAAATGAAGCGGCGTCAAAGCCTCACGATAACTTAGACGCCAATGACTGGCGCCAGTTTGATAAGATATCATTTATGTCAGTCCCTTCTTAACAGGTCCACTTGGAAAGATACTGTTACACCTATGTGGTCAGCGTTTTCTTACCAACCCCCTTCTCACTAATGCAAAATCTTGCATCTTCATTTACTACCTTTTAAAATTATTTTCATAACTACTTTTATTAGCATCTCGTTCCTGCAGTAGGGTAATTGGCTTTGTGTCACGACCGGTGGCTTAAGCTTTTACTGAGGAAAAACATCCTTGTTCATTTAAGAAGTAGTTACTTTTTGAATTGCAACGTCGTGGAAAAGGGTATCCTATCTTTAATCATGTATCATGGCGATTTATCATTTTGAGCAACTACGTACCCTAACCCCCTGGAGGAAACCGTGTACTAGCCATTCCTCTTCCGCAAAAGCTTGGCTCTTGCGGGAAGTTCCAGTTTCCCTTTGTTACCTTTAGTGGTCGTTTAGTTTAGGATACGCTCGGAATTAGGCCGCTATCCTACTTTTTCGTGCTGTAAAGATGATGGTGAAGGCAACCAATTACCAGCGACGCTACCTATCTAATCCGTACCGTCTTTCTACCTCATCATCGCCCCCGCCCGCCTTGACTTGAGAGCCGATCTTTGCCCCGGGGTCTAGATCATGCATAGGTCACGCATTCGCCAGCTACTACGTCGGGCTTCCGCCAATTGCCATGGTTACTCAGGTCGGCGACCAGACAATTTGACAACTGCGAAGATCCTTTCTTGGCAGTCTGCAGCCGACGACGCTGTGCTCACACAGCCCCAAGGGAAAATGCTGCATGTCTTGGAGATCGTTCATCCGAACAATGCTGCGAGAACCCGAAGTTCTTCGAAAGTCTTCGTATGTGACATACGGTATGTCATGGAAACGGGCCCTTGCAGTCACTCCTCCCAGTAAGGCTATCGCGAACTATAGGTAGGGGGCAGATATGCCGCCGTCCACCTCGTAGACCTCGTTACTCATAGATAACCGGGCCGGCATACTGTTTAACGGCGCGCAAAGTTTAGCCCAAATCCATGGCCATGGGATGGTGCCCCTTTACACGAAAGCTCGTGATCCCGCGGTGTACAAATTATGTTTCTTTAGAACCGCATAATTGCCATCCCAATTCATAAGTAACCGAGACTCATGGTAAGCCACTATTACCATATTCAGCTCCATAGCTTCTATGGCTATGCCTTTCTGAGGTGAGAGGCCATGAAGCAGATACGCGTATGGTTTCGGGTCATAACAAGGTTTAAGAGGGTAGCAAAGCTCGGGGGGGCGGACGCAAAGGAAATTCCGCCTGTCGGGTTTTGTTTATTCTTTGCATAGCTAAGAGATGTCCAGTCCGTTACGTGGCAGGCCAGTTCCACTGGGCCCTCACTGCTGGGCCTCCGTCTTGCCCAACGGCGGACGCCATGGGCGGTTCCCCATCACCCCCAGTATGATCGCGTTGGACCTGGCTATGTCTTTTATCAGAATGATCGACAGTACCTAGGCGGCCCGAGTCGGCATTTAGAAGCCAGTATACCGAGAAAGGGCATCGTGCAATAGCGCCTTCGAGACTGCTTTCCTGCAAGTGCTTCCTTAGTGGCAGACGCAGACGTATACCTATGTTCTATATGTGTAAGGGAGAAAAAGAATACATCTCTCGCAACGGTTCCGTCATCGCAATCTTCCTCCCCACAAACTCGTCCCGTGATCGTAACCCCTGTGCAAGATCGATGTCTAACAGCAGCACAACCGGCAGAGTAGTTTAATGAGGTGCGCTAGATGTAGACGGAGATCGGTCACACTGGTTCTACGGGGTATGTCTCGCATCGTTTCCGAGTTGTGACGGGTATATGCTCGTCATTGACTCTTTTTTTTCCGTGGAGAGACACGGTACAGAATCGGAAATGCCCCCAGCAACACCACAACCCCAAGCCTAGAAGTGTGTATTCATTCTTCTTTTCTCCGCCACGACCCATTTAGTATCGTTCGTATCGTAGACATAAGCGTTGTGCAGGGCAGCCTCATTTTCTATCTCGACAAGCCCTAATAAAGTACAGACCAGGTACAGTGGACATCTCGAGCGGGGAGTGGATAAAAGAGACCTGCGAAGTTCCGATAGTTCTGGTGATCGTCATTAATGCATTTAAGGCGCCAAGACCGGGGGTAGATGCGCCTATGTAGGGGCGTTTTTCTTTTCATATCACTTGTTATCTATGTCTCTATCTAATAGCCTTGTAGTTACTAGCTCTTGCGTCTTTTCCCTTTCTTTCCTTTATTTTCTTTTCCCCTTCTCTTTCGAGTGACGTAACCCCCCAGCAAATTAGCCACAGAGACACGAAAATTGGTCGCCAACCAGTCAAGAGGTCAGATCAAGATTGTTTATATAATTAGACCCGTTAAATCTATTATAATTTCGGCCAAATAGGCTCTCTATGATCTATCATAGTCGACCCCTATTTTGTCTTCCCGTGGAGGCTCGCTCTGGAAGTTACCCGGCCCGCTTTATGAAGCCCGATATCCCAGTCTATATGCCGAACGGAAGAGGTATATATGAATAGAAAATGCCAAGCTTGTAACTACATTGTAAAGAAATAGCCCTCCATCAATATTGAAATGTCTTGGCACGCTGTGACCTTGACGGTGTATCCGGTCCGGTCACTTAGGTTGCTGCTGCAACTGCTAAGACTCTGGAAATTGCGGCATTGTAATGTCTTTGAATTATCGGTTCTTCATCCATCAGTTCCCATTTGAAACAGATGCGGGTAGAACAGCCAAGGCATCTGAAATCTGTAGCGTCACAGAGCCGTCTTTCTCGCTTCGGACCATTTTGACGGACTGCAGATCTCGGACAATCCAATCGGGTTCGGCGGCAAGCACCTGTTCGGTCGTATGGCTCGTAACCAAGCCCAACACTTTACACCCTGCGGCCTTGCCAGACCTGATACCAGCAGGACTATCTTCCAAGACGAGGATATCAGGACTATCATCAGAACCGAGCCCGAGCTTCTCTCGCCCCAGATCGTAGCATGCCGGGTCGGGCTTCCCGTTAGCGACGGACTCAGCTGTGACCAAGTTCGTTGGATGCGGCAGCTTCAACACGTCGAGCCAGCCCGTTACCAACGGCATGGTGCCCGAGGTCACGATGGCCCAGCGCGCAGACGCAGCGATCAAGGCGTCGAGGAGGGCTCTCGCGCCTGGAATCTCGACGGCGTCTGCGCCGTGCAATTTCGGGAGCAAGCCCTCCATATGTCTCACATCTAACCATATGGATTAGTTGGTGAACTCAGGGGGTAGACGTAGGTACTGTCGCGAAGTAAAACATATTTAAGGGGGGCGAGAAGTAAGGCCGCAAGGGGTAGCGTAAAAGGAGATCAGGGGGAAAGAGCGAAAGGGAGAAGCGATTCAACTATTCCGACTCCATTGGAACTCATATATGTATAGCGTGGACTCACATTCCCAGTTGGCCTTGTCCGGACTAAGCACCTTGAGCATGTCTATGCTCCGACGGCCGTGAGACGTCTGCAAGATGACCTCCGGATCTACACCGATTTCATTTCCGACCCTGCCCCTGACTTAGGGCCGATTCTCAAATCCCTTTTTCTTGTCTGCGGAGGGGGGGGGGACTTACGTTTGCCAGTGCTTGACGACTGCGGCTGTCGAATCAATGATTGTGCCGTCCATGTCGAAGAGTAGCCCCTTGAAAGAGACCTCAAATGCGGGCGTTGTGTAGTCCATTATGACTATATGATGATACGGTACACAAGAGAGCGCGAAATAAGTGTCTATTCTAAAGCAAGAATGAGATAAATAAGCCGGAGCTAAAACGGTAGTAATATAATAGGTTGCTGTCATCAGCTACCGAAGTATGCGTTTCTTTGTAAAAGATATGAAATTGGCTTTCCGCCGACAAGCGACTTATATGTTAAAATCAAATCGGGATAGGCGAGGCCGAGTTAGGAAACTCCGCACTGGCGGTTCCATTACATTAGGCAGTACCGTAATCCCGCGAAATTGAAGCCATCGTGAGGCCTAAACACCGTTAAAAAGTTCTAGTTTTAAGGGACTTTCAATGGAGATGTTCTTATCGGTAAGCGGGGTCAGCGAATTGGCTTGCCTGGTGGGGGTTCTTCCCGGGCGGTGGCTGGCGGCAGACGCTTATCTCATTTTTTCTGCACCAGATTTCTAAACTTTTTATGCTGATAACCCTCGAAGTACAATTCATATACAATTGCCAGGCACAGCAAGTTGAAAATGGCCAATCATATTACGAAACCAAAGAGTATGTTTAATCAATTTCCAATTGAAATTTCATTGTGAGTAGTGCATCAATTGACTCATTGTGCAGAGGCCAAGTCCAAACGGACTCCCGTCCGTCTACGGCATAAGATCGAGAAGGCCTCGGCCGCAAAGCAGCGCAAAGCCAGAAAAGAAGCCAAGAAGAACCCCCAATGGACGTCCAAGCTGAAAAAGGACCCGGGTATCCCCAACCTGTTCCCCTACAAGGAGAAGATCCTACATGAGATTGAAGAGGGTCGACGGAGGAAACAAGAGGAACAACAACGTCGGAGGGAGCTAGCTAAGGCTGTAAAGACCGGTTCTACGAACGAACCTGAGATGGACGAGGATGCTATGGACGGCGCTGAGGATGGAGACTTCGACGGATTTTCTGAAGACCATGATAATACGATGGACGAGGATGATGTAGATGATTCCTCAGATCCTATGGCAGCACTTATTGCGAGCGCCAGAGCTGCCGCTGAGAAGTATGATCGCGAACTCCAAAGTGGGGACGATATAGACGAAGGCGAGTCATCAGATGGCGATTTCGAAAATGGAAGCGCTGAAATGCACGCTCAATCCTCGTCGCGGAAAGCCCACGACAAGGTCTTCAAGCAAGTCGTAGACCAGGCCGATGTCGTCCTCTACGTTCTAGATGCCAGAGACCCCGAAGGAACGAGGTCAAGAGAAGTTGAGCGCATGGTGATGGCCGCAGCAAGCGGTGGCAAGAGGTTAATTCTCATTCTCAACAAGATCGACTTAATCCCGCCGCATGTCCTCAAGGACTGGCTCACGTACTTGCGGAGATATTTCCCTACACTTCCACTACGCGCTTCTAGCTCCGCGCCTAATGCGCATACCTTCAACCACCGCGATCTCACCGTCCAAAACACCTCATCCACGCTCCTCAAGTCCCTAAAATCCTTCGCTGCTACTAAGCAACTCAAGCGCGCCGTGTCAGTCGGTGTTATCGGCTACCCTAACGTCGGCAAGTCTTCCGTCATCAATGCGCTACTCTCGCGACTTGGCGGCGGTCGCAGCGCAGCTGCTTGCCCCGCGGGCGCCGAAGCGGGTGTAACAACAAGCATCCGCGCAGTTAAGATCGACAGCAAGCTCACGCTTCTTGATTCCCCTGGAATTATATTCCCTTCTGCGTCGGCGCCGACAGGCGAGGCTCCATCAAAGAAAAGCGCCGTGGAGGCGCACGCTCACCTGGTTCTTCTCAACGCCATCCCACCAAAGCAGATTGACGACCCGATACCGGCTGTCACGCTGCTGCTTAGGAGACTAGCGGCGTCGCCGGAACTCCTCCAGAAACTTATGGATGTGTATGATATCCCACCGCTAATGACAGCTGCAGATGGAGACGCTACGACAGATTTCCTGGTCCAAGTCGCGCGGAAGCGTGGACGGCTTGGGCGCGGCGGAGTGCCGAATCTGACGGCGGCTGCTATGACGGTCGTGACAGACTGGCGTGATGGACGTATACAGGGATGGGTTGATGCGCCTGTGTTGCCGGTCGCGACGGAGATGCCGGCTACGACGGGGTCGTCGAGCGTGCCGACGGCTATGCCCGATCAGAAGGAGATTGTTACAGAGTGGGCGAAGGAGTTTAAGCTTGAGGGTCTGTGGGGCGATGATGGGGAGAAGGAGGGAGATAAGATGGAGCAGTGAGAGAGCTGTTTGTTCACGCTGAAGTTTAATGCCTTAAGAAAGAAGAGACTGGAGAGAAATATATGATACCGAATCCGGAATAGGGTTGAGAATTGAGGAGGGTGTGGGTGCGAATGCGCCGCGACTTACTTAGCCTAACTTGACTTATATTCAGGACTGGAGTTAGGGACTAGGAAAATAGGTTGCGCCTCGAGACGTTGCTTTGATAGTCTTGATCTGGTCTTTATTGGTTGGTAGATATCGGATAAGTATGATGAAGTGAATATTACCAAGTCCCGCGTATAATAGTGGTGTTCAGAGGCCTAGGATGGTGAAGTCGATGTTCTCTAAAGGCATTAGACTTTGGGGGTATCGCGAGGTAAAGCGAGGTAAAGCGAGGAGCATAGGAATAACTTAGTTATTTCGCAAAGCATTCTAACCCAACCTATGGAAGCTTGAGCTATACATACCGAAGGCCTCCTTCATCTTAACGTAAACACACTTTCACAATCCCCAACTACTACTAACCTAGGATATTATCATTTCACCAATGCTTAGTGCCACTGGCATGTTTTTATCAGGTAAATTAGTTGAGGTTGGTAAGGTCTTCATACTAGTAACGTAGCATTACTATCCCATCGTAGAGTGTAAGTTGATTGTATATAAGCTCAATCTGTTACTAACATATGCTGTGGATATAGTCATTATTAACAGTTTCACAGACCAATCAAAGTATACGCCTCTCTTATACTTTTGATCCATCGCCCTGGGTCAGACAGCAAGAGAATATCTCTTTTTACCCCTTATATATTATTCCCCTTATATATTATTTTGCCTTGCTGACGGTTGTGGTAAGTAGGAAAGGGCCTAAATACCTCTTGTGTTGTGTGCTGTAAAAGGTAATCGCGACAAGACTTGGCAGTGTTTGCTACTTGGACTTATAGTGTTTAAATCGTAATAAATAATAAATATCACTATTTATTAATAAGTTAGTTCTTTAGGTATGGATAGCATAGAGTCCAAAGAATGAGCAACATTTTGTAGTCTTCCCCAATCCACTTTACTCTTGAAAACTCAACGTGGATGAATTTCAACTTGGGGTCGGCATATCTAATTCATCAACATGGACTACAAATCCCCCCTAATTAATTGCGACATTGCTCTTCATCACTCTCATATAATTATCTCCCTTTGGGAATTTATATCCGGATCGAAAGTAGCCTCGTATTATTGGAATGCCCGGCTTAAGAAGTATTATTATTCATTCAGCTGTAGATACCATCTTATCTATGCCCACTCCATACATGTGAATCAGTAGTTCTCATCCTATTAGATCATCCAAAGTCCTACCCTTGACAATGCAGCATATATCTCCTCCTGACATGACTACGTCGACTATTAACCCATCGACTATAAGCTCCGAATTGTAACGAAGACGGGCTTTGAATAGCTGCCTGTCTGCGTTGCGTAGCACCTGGTCCCTCTCTAGTTCTCGGAACCAATGATAGTCCAATCGTAACTCCTGACGGGGGATGTTGTCTTTTCAAAGAGCTCTGCGTCTCTTACAGAATGTTTAAGGAACTGCTGTTCTTTATCAGCTTCATAGTTTCGGTATTGATAGAGGAGCCGGACTTCAATGAAGCAGTTGTGTCCCATAACAATAGCCCTGGGAGTGAATAGACATGGTCTAGTAAGTTAGTTACTTGGCGTAGACGGTATCTTCGGAGAGGGGAACCTCCCGCGGGGGCCGTGAGAAATGAGTTGTGGTATAATAATTTTTCCTATCTTTGGTCCTCCGAAAACGTATCCATATCATTTGCATAGCAGTTTGACATGTAAGAAAAAAGATTGTTTTTTTTTTAATTTATAAGAAATACAATTAAGTTAAGTTAATTTTTTATTAATAATTCATTGATGATTTTTTATAAAAAATAATAATATTTATATTATAATTTAAAATTTAAAATTTTATTATTATTAATATTTAATTATTAAATTTTTATTACGTTTATTTTACTTGAAACTTATATTTAAATATATTTTAAAAGAAATTTAATAAGATCACGTAATAATAATATTACATACGCAAAAATAATTTCTATAATTATAATAATAATAATTAATATAAAAAATATAATTATAAAAAATATTATTACAATAAATATAATTGTTAAAAATATAATAATAAAAAATATTACAATAATTATTATAATAATTATTATAAAAGTAATTTTTATAACTATAAAAATTATTATAATAAATTTAAAAGCGGATTAAGAAAATAATAATATTAGCGTTAATAAATTAAATAAGGTAATAATAACGATAAAAATTATTGAAAAAATAAAATATATTTTAAAGAAAATAAGTTAAATTATAAGATTAAATAAAAAAATTAAAATAATAAGATTATTTTTTATTAAAAAAATATTTAAATAGTAATAAATTAAATATAAATTTTTTTTATTTTTTTTATATAAATTGTAATAATAATAAAGATATAGTAAAAAGAACTTATAAAAAATATAATAAGTTATTTAATATTTAATTAAATTATTTTAAATATATATATATATATTAATAAATATATTTTATTTAAACTATTAAACTTAAACTTAAATAAATTTAAAATTATAAACTTATTAAATTTAAACGAATTTAAAGATATAAAAATAGATTATTTTAAGATAATAAAATTTAATGAAAATAAAAATATATCATTTAATATAATTAAAAAGAACAAAAATCCAAAAACTATTTTAAATAATAATAATAAATATAAAAATTATATTAATAATATATTTTTTAATTTTAAAATTATTGATATAAAATTTAAAAAGAATTTTTAAGTAAATATATTGAAAAAATATTCCTATTTTAAAATAAATATGATATATAATAATATATTATTTATTATATATGTAAATTTAAAAGCATTTAATAAAATAATTAATATTAATTAGTTTAAAATATTTGTTAAAGATTACGAAATATTTAAATTAAAATAATTATTAAAATTTGGTAAAATTATAAAAAAAATGGAAATAAAAAAAAGGTATAATTTATTATTAAAATGATTATAAAACCAAAATTTAACTTATAAAAATTAATTTATATATATATATTAAGGTATGGATATATAAATATAATTTAAAACCTAACTTATTATTAAATATAAAATTTTATATAAACTATAAAATGGTAATTAATTAACTAAAGAAAATGTTAATTATAAAAGTATATTTCGGAAAGAAATTTATTATAAACTATTTTAAAATATTAAAAAATTTATAACGAAAAGTAATTATTATTTATAAAATTATTATGCTAGTTGGAATAATAATAATAATACTTATTAAATTCGCTAACCTTTTAAAAAAAAGAAATTATAAATTTTAATTTATATACCCCGGAGTAATATATAATATATATATATTAAATATAATTAAAATAATAAGGAAATTATAATATCCCGGAAAACAAAAATAAAAACCATTAATAAAATAATAATAAATAAATTTATAATTATAATATAAAAAAAAGTAAATATTACTTAAGTTATATTTATAATAATTAATAATAATATTATAAATAATTTTTTAATTAAAAAATTTAACTTTAATAATAAAATAGTAAAAAGTTTATTATTTATTACTTTAACTATTGAAAAATTATAAAATATTATAAAAAAATTGAAAAATTGAAAAATATATTTAAAGTAGTTTTTAAAGACAAAGTATGTTATTATAATATGTTTTTATTATTTAATAAATAATTTATTAATATAGTAGAAAATTATTAATATTTTTAAAAATAAAAAAATAACTATTAAATTAATTAATAATTGGTAAAATAAATATAAAGTAAGATAAGTATATTTTTTTGGCGTGGAAGATTGAAAATTAATTAACGTAATATTTAATAAAATATATAATAAAAAATAATTTAAATAAATAAAAAAATTTATATTATTTAAATATTTATATTTTATTATATAAAAAATAGTTAATAGTAAATGAAAAGGTTATATGGTAATAGATTTATAATTATTAAATAAATATATATTGTTAAACGTATATTTAATATTTTAATAAGAAAAAATTGTTAATAAAATAAAATAATAATAATATTTTATCGTGGTTAATAATTTTGTTTTTTTTTATTAATTTCCTGTAATCGAATAATATAAAAACTAAATGATAATTATATTGTTTAAAAAATTTGAAGTTTTTAATGTAGTATTAATAAGATTTTACAATTCTAAATTATATATATATAAATTTATAAATTAAAAATTATAATTATATAAAAATTTTATTAATATTTATATTAATAATGTAATAATTTATAATTATACAATAAAATAATACGAAGAGTATTTAAGAAAAGTATTTTAATTATTTAAAAATATTAAATTTATATTTAATTTTAAGAAATTATTCCTAAAATAACTATTTATAAAATTATTAGGATTTATGATTAATAAATTAAAATAATTAAAAAATTAAAATATTTATTATATTAGTAAATTTAAAAATATATATAAGAATAACAAGATTTTTACAAAAATATATCTTTTAATACTTATAAAAAATCTAACTATTTTAATAATAAAAAATTATACTATTAAAATAAAATTGTAAAAATAAGAAAATTCCTATAATCTTAAACGTATAAAAAATATACTATAAAAATATTGTTTATCCTTGTATTTAATAAAATTAAAACGTTTAAAATCTTTTAAAAAAACTTATTAATCTTGATGAGATTACGTAATAAGACCACGATAACGATAATATAGATAAAATAGCTTAGCTTATTTCTTACTTTTATAAATTAAGAAGACTTTATTTTCTTTATTAATACTATTTTAACTTTTCTACTCATGATAATCCATAGTAAATCTTATTTTATTATACTATTAAAATATATTATAAATAATATTTTTTAAGATTGATATATTTAAATAATAAAGTTTTAATATATTTATATTTTACTTAAAACATAAAAAAAATAAAAAAAATATATTAATTTAAAATATTAACCTTATAATATTCCTATTTAAAATCTTTATAAAAATTAAAACCTAATATTAAATTATAAAATTAAAAATAATATACTTAATTTAAATATATTAATAATATTAAATATAATTTTAATTATATAAAAAATTAATTATTATATTAATTAATTATAAAATAATTTAAAATATTATTAAATAAATAATATTATAAATATTAAATATAAATAAAATAAATAATAAATTTATAATAATATTTATTTATTTATTATAATTTTAAAAATAATAAGAAAAAGAAAAAGAAAATAAAAATTATATTTGAAAATATTATAAAAGATTTTAAATATATAATTATAAAATTAACTATTAATAAAAT